CAGGGTATCTCCTAGTCGAGCAGTCTCGACTAGAGTCTTCTTACTTGTTTTTTTCCTTCATTTATTCTTTTGTCATTTAAACTGTGCTCCAAATCTGTTTTCAACTTTTGCACTCTTACCTGTTTTTCGTTCGCCTTCTAGAGCCTTGTAGCTCAGCTTGCGCGGATTTTTGAGTTGCAGCTAAGCGCATTAAAATTGACAAAATGCCACTCAAAAAGTATTGCAAAACTTTATTTCCGAAAAAATTGTTATTTATTTTTCTTTCAAAGAAGACGACTTTTAGATACTCTGTTGCTTTGAAGGAATTGAAGTGTGTGGGAAGATTGAAATTAATCTACTTGAAATATTAATAAGTATAATAAGCGGACAACAGGCTAAGTAAATGTTGAAGTATCCATATCTGATCGAGGAGGCTAAGCTTAGACTCTGAGAATACGATATTTTCAACTGGAAACATTTCTATCATAAACTTATCATCAGTAAGACAAAAGCCTGGTCAACGCAGTCAGATTATTGCTATCCAAAGGGAAAATCGATATTAATTTCAACAATATATATAGTAAATCCCACATCCTTTTATAAGCTAATATACCTGCAAGCATTTTGCATTGTAGAGTATGCATAGAAAGATTCTTCGCCATTTTGCGACTTACAGAAGTTGCACAAGCACTGTCAAGCCAGCCCATTGGCTGTATTTCTGAGCGAAAATTGACAGATCAACTTTTTTTTTAGCTGCATGCGTACATGTGTAGTGCCTGTCCCCGCCGCTGTGCGTGTGAGGGTGTGCCGGAAATTCGCAAATGGAGAAAGCAACGCTCCAGAATGAAGTGTAAAGTTGTTGCACGTCGTTATATAGTTTTTTTTAGCTAGACAGCGCCTTATGCAATCGAGCACAGGCTTTACAGGGGCAGTGTGCGGGTGTCTGTCTGTGTGTGTGTGTGTGTGTGTGTGGGTGTAAAGACAATGTCCTTTTGCTGTGGCCATTGCTGCGATGATGCGACACGGCGAGAGGCAATTTGGCTTGCGTTCTGGCCATAAACTGCAACATTTCGGCTATCAGCATTTGGTTACGGTTCATTTGGCCAAATAGCCATAACGACGGGGCCCGGGCACAGATTGTCGCTGTCCGCTGCTTGCCCACCCCCGGCCGCCGCTCACCCGCTGCTCGGTTCGCCGCTGCCAAATGTATGTGGCGCAGCCAGCGACGTGCCACAAGCACTGATTCAGGTGTGCCAGACACCATGACCTGCGCCTTCGTGCAGCTGCGACTCGTGTTCCAATGCCAGACGTTGCGCTCTCTCTGCCGCTGTGGCTCGTGCCCAAGTGCCAGCCGCTGCGCTCTCTTCGACGCTGTTAACAGTTGTACAAGACGAAACTCACCACGATTCGGAGTTGCGCTCTTTGCGAAATCGACTCTCTTAAAAGTACAGCGTGCGCTCTCTCTCTCTCGCTCACACTGGCTCGCTCTCTCCGTCTCTGTGTTTTTACTGCTGCGAGTAGGTCAGTAGTGCGAAGCGTTCCATGCCATTCCGTTTCGCCTGCTTGGTATGCAGGCCAGCACGAAAGTATGCTACAGTTCCTGAGCGCTCACACACGCACACGTAGACGCTCAGCAGGACAAATGTTACACTTACAGTTATGATTATGATTATTGTTATGATGATAACATTGTTGCTATTGATATTGTTGCTGTTGTTGTTGGTGCTGCTGTTGCTACCGTTATTGTTTAGCTATTTGCTTGGGCGCCTCAATGACTTAAGACCCTAGCAAATGTGTCCACCGTAGCATGAGCCAATAGCTGTGCACCATTGAGCATGTACACGCACACACACACACACACCCATACACACGCACACGCACACGTATTGGCAGTTATTACGCGAGCTGCCACAATGTTATCTAATAAACAACACCTGCTTTTCGCTTACCTGCAACAGCTTTGATCAGCTAATTTGAAATTTTAATTACATTGGCAGAGGCGATGAAGTGATGCCTGTCAGCAACTGATACGCCTTAATTACGCCACCTTCGCAAAATAGCAAGTCAACCTTAGGTATGCCCACGCCCACGCCCACGCCTACGCCCAGGTCTACGACTACGACAAGAGCCACGCCCTCGTCACGTGTAAAAATCAACGCGCCCAAGTTGTGGCGCTTCACAGGAGGCGAGCTCGCTTATTAAAACTGAATAAATTATGCAAAACTGTGAGCAGCTCGATTTCCTTTTGCCCAATAAACCGGAGCCAATACACGAAACACAAGACGAACGCTGCATAATTAATTCAGCCCCATGTCCGGCGGCTCTGAATGCAATCAAAATGCGTGCACAACTTGGCCAAGTCGAGTCCGAGACGCTCAAAGCTGGCCCGAAAACTCCAAGTGGACTTTAGTCTGGGCCCACCTGCGGCTCAGTTCTCTGCCACGCCCATTCAACGCCCATCAGTGAGCTGCCAGCGAGCAGCTGCAAGTCGTAGTGCCGTCTCTGGGTCTGGAGCAGATTGGAACTATTTCAGTTTCATAAACAATTCACACATTTTTCAGGCACTTTCCAAATAGTTTTTCGCCAATGATTGGAAAATACCAAAAGCGAAACAACTGTAAATGATACAAAATATCTTGTTTATTTCCTTTATTGTTTACATTGAATTAGCAAAAAGCTGTGCAATTAACATTTGTGTTTACATTCGGCATTCGATATTCGCCTCGGCGCACTCGAGTGCGCGTGGCTCACAAGAAGCGTTAACTCATAGACAGTTAGGATTAGCCTATATACATACATGTTTATCTAAATCCAAGTACAAATACATATACATAAATCTAAAGATATATTTAAGCTATATGAGGAGCCGGCGATTTGAATTGCGAGCTCGTTTTTATAGGACTCTCATTTGTTTATTGTTTCTGTTTATAAGTTTGGTCCTTTTTGGATTTTTCCTTCTTTTTTCTTTTCTCTGTTTTTCTGTGGGGCCATTGGTCGTTAATTAACGGCACATTCTCAGCCCCTTAATTGGCCGCATTTAGCCGGTTGGCCGCGTTCGAGCGTCCTGCGAAGCAATCAATCTGCCACCTGCCGCCACTTCGCACTCGCCCTCTGCCACCTGCTCCTGCCGCTGCTTGTGCTCCTCCTGGCTGTCGGTCAATCACTTTTCGATATATACAAATAGATATTTGGAGCTGTCGCCGATTCCTGGCTGTCGTCGTCTGAGCGCTCAAAGGCCCGTCGTGGAGGTCCTGCCACAGGACGTTTTGCGCGGCGGCGGCAAATCAGATGTGTAATTCTGGTAGCGGTTCGAGCAGTTAATGGCCTACAGAGAGATAGAAAGTATGAAATGCCAGAACAGAAAACACGAAGGCCGGGCATAAGTTAATGCCAAAAATACATAAAATAACGACAGTAAATCGTTGCCACAAAATGTTTGATTAATGATGTGTTGCGCTCTGCACGGAAGCGAGCATTGCCCCACCAATTCCCCACGTCAAACCGCCAGCCCCGAAGCGCAGCGAGCGCTGTGGCTTTGCATTTGAATGATTAGATTTGATTCAATATTCAATTATTTAACTGGTTTGAGGTGTTGAAATGCCCACAGTTTATCTGTGGGTCCAACATAGACCCATGGACCCCCATACCATACCAGGTCGGGTCCTGCTCAGTCCCGGCTATCCCGTTGGGCGTTTGCATATAAATGATTTATGAATTTGCGCTCTGATTGAATCGTCCGAAATTGTTGATTAGTGCGCCGTCATTGAAACAACAACAACAACAACAGCAGCAGCAGCAGCAACAACAACAATGGCACCAACAACAGCCACAACAATCGCATAGACCCTGGCATTTCCATGCAATCGCTCAAGGGAAATAAGTTACGATTTTCGAGCCCCATTGACTATGAACCATATTCAAATGCATTATGTATACACATGCGTGTGTGCGTGTCTGTGTGTGGGTGTGTGTGTGTGTGTGTGTGTGTGTACCTGTGTACCTATGTTTGGCTGTGATTTGATTATGGCAGACATTTAGCAGCGGAATCCATGGACAGCCTTTCGACTGCTGTGCAAATTCTGGCATAGCCGCGCTGCAAAATCTTTAATCGAATATCTCTGTAAATTGATATTAATTATGCATAGAATACAAATAAATAATGTGCCGATTAGGCGTTCAGTTTAAAGTATCATATGTGAACTCTGAACTATTGGTATAAACATAAATACATATAAACATATATGTATACATTTTTGGTATTTATTCAAGTAAACATCCATTTAGCCAGGAAGCAGCCAAATCATACTCTAATGTCCTTTGCTCAATTTTCCTATTTACACCATTAATAATATAAACTTTATTGTTGCATTCATAATTAATTTAATTTCATATTTTGCGGTTTAATTAAATTCATTTTAATAGACTTTAATTTCATAGAGTATACGCAAAATGCAAATAATTATATGATTAAAAATAATTGTAAATATTTAAAATAAATAAGAGTGATTTTTGATATTTCATTGGCCGCGAAAGCAAATATTAAATAACGTTAACTTTAATTAAGAGAACAAAGTAAATACGGCGACGAGCGATGCAGCCGCTTGCGGCGCTTGTAAATAAATTATATTACATTTTTAATCGAGATAAAGTCTGGGTCTCTGGGCAGGCGGTTGACCGCATGCACTGGTTGAATTAAATTGATTTTGCGACACACGCGAGTCTTTTAAATAGCAGAAAAAATAACGCGGAGTTTCTATTGACAAATGGCATAATGGACGAGCCGTCAGTCGGGCAATTAGCCAATTTGATGGGCTAATACGTGTGTTCAATACCTGGCCAAGCGAGGACTGCCAGCACGCGCCCAGCACAATTTGCCAAAACAATAGCCAGCAATTTAATTAATGTAATTAATCTAATTTAATGACTTGACAAACACATCAATTAGCGCCGAGCGGTAGCCGGAGATCGGAGGGCGGAGAGCGAGGGGCTCAATTTAAATGCAAAGTGCTGGAGCAGGTCTTTGCGGCAAATGGAAAAGCTGCTCCGCAGCAACAAAAACAAATTAAAATATTAAAATTAGGCCACAAAATGATTGAAAGGAAATGTTACAGACGACTTTGCCATCGACTCGACTCGGACAGAGCACTCGAGACACTCTCCCTCTCCCTCTCTGCCTCTCTCTCGCTCTCCCATCTGTCTGTCCCTAAAGTAATTAAAAGTGGGTAGAGCATAGTCCCAGCCCCGCTCAGCCCCGCTCTAGCCCACTTCCCTGTGGAATGCTACAATTTTGGTTGTATTTTGATTTTTTGCCACGTTTTGTTTTCTACTTATGTAAATGGCCGAAAGAATTAATGCGTCCAGCCAGTGCGTTGAATGGGAATGAGCTGAGCTGTGTATCGAGGTCGAGTCCTGTGGAGTCCTGCAACTGTGTCTGCGATTTGCATAAAGTGTTTTTCCAACATCTACTGCGCTTACTATTTAAAATTCCATATTTCAATATTATTTCCCTGTGTTAGATAATTCCAAATATTTATCTCACACAAATGCCAAAAATAGCTCGGATTTGATTTAATTTGATTGGCACGCCTGCTGCTGCTGCTGCCTCTGTCTCTGCCTCTGCCCCTGCCACTGCTACTGCTGCTGTTCTTGTTTCACAATTTTGCTGTAAAATGTTGGTATTTATAACGCAATTATTGAGCGCATCCCACGCGGCGTATGCGCGTTTTTCGCACTTAACTCATTAAGGCCCCCAGCGATTGCTGGCAAATGTTTGAGCATTGCGCGCGTTTTCCCAATATTATTTTATTTGATTTTTTCCCCACTATTTTTTTTTTTTTGTTTTGCTCTCTCGCCCCCCGTTGTCTGCGTAAATAGTTTAATTGTATTATCGACGGAAACATTTGAAAGAATTAAACGCACATTTGAAATCGCATCAAATGACTGACGTTTTAACAGCTGCATGGAAAATAACACCAATCGAAGCGAAACCACTTTATCCAGCTGAACAAAAAACTGAACAAATCGTCCACAAACTGGGTCGAGAGCAGCCACTACTGGGCTGCTAGAAGCCATATGCAGTGCGCTTTGACAATGAAAACCAACAGCCAAACAATTCAATTGGCTACAAGAAAGCACTCAATCGAACAATGGCCAGTGGCTCTTTGTCCTAGTCTCTGCGTACTGCGTACTCACCTTGTAGAAGGCCTTGCGGAAGTTGTCCGAGAGGAAGGCGTAGAGCAGCGGGTTGATGCAGGAGCTGGTGTAGGCCATGGTGTGGGCCACTATCTGCAGTATGACACTGAACATGCTGTTCGCCTCGTACAGGTCCAAGGCCTTCAGCAGTAAGATGAGCTGCAAATCAATGGAACGGATTAAAACTGGAGCGAGAGCTATGCCAAGTGTTTGGTGCTCACCTGCACGGGCAGCCAGAGCGAGGCGAAGGCAATGACCACGACCACCACCAGGCGGGTGACTCGCTTGCGTCCGCGCTGCGACTCCTTGGACATGCGCACGCCGGTGCCCTGGTGCCAGAGGCGCATGATCATGCGCACGTACAGCCCGCTGATCACCATCAGGGGCAGCAGGTAGGAGCTGATGAAGAAGCTCACCTGGAAGGTGCTCTGGTCGAGGACATCATTATCGATGAAGCGACACATGGCGTACGTGACGTTCGTCTGGTTATCATAGTCAACCTGTGTGGAGCGAAAGTTGTCTCTATAAAACTTAAATATTACACATACGTCATGTTGTTGCCTGACGTTTTAATGACTAAAAAAGGTTGCTAAAGGTAAAAGTCTACATATATGTGTGTGCTCTGGAGACAGGTTGATAACATAGTACATATTTGACTCTTCACATGACGCACTCACTATGCGGAGCCCCGCTGACCCTCTGTCTGGCCTGTCGGGTCATAAACTAGAAATGAGTCGTAAACAATATACATCGATATATATCGATTCACACGGCCAACTTTTTGTTTACAGATTTGTTTACAGCACAGTCGCAGTCGCAGTCGCAGTGTGTTAATATAAAATACGATTAAAAACTCTAGAGCAAAGCGTATTTATGGTAAATTCTGTTGTTGTTGCTGTTGTTGGTGCAGCGAGCAACTGAGCAACAAAGTTGGCCAAGGAGAGTGCCCTATGGCTATAGCACCGAAAATGTTATGTGCGAGCTAATTTGGCATTTAATTAGTTTGAATTGAATGGATTTTCATGTTTCTTAGCTCGGCAAACATAAAATGTAATTTTCTTGTGACAGAGATGGAAGCATAGAGAGAGAAAGAGAGAGAGAGAGAGAGCGCGCAAGCAGAAGAGACCATTAAACGAATACTGACCCAACTCAAGTGGCTCTGAAAGAATTCATAAACAGCTGTCAATCAATGCCACAATAGATCTATATTTAATGCTGATATTACGACAGGCATATGCCCCGTTTTATGACTATATTTTGTCTACAAAAAAAAAATAAATATATATATATACATAGATACATCTACATCTAAATCTCTGTCTATATGTTGTTGCTGTTCGCATCTGTTATTGTTACAACTATCTGTAAATATTGTTTCTTTTTGTTGTTGTTGTTGTTGTTGTTGTCCTGTTTTGTTTTGCTTTGGCGCGCATTGTTTTGCTTTGTGTCGACAATAGATAACAGTATGTAATATGAATATAATTAATAGCTAACTGTTAATTAACATGTTGATCAAACATGAGTTAATTATGCCTTTTTATCGCGCGCTTTGCTTTTGTTTGCCTGCGCACGTAAGGAGAGAGAAAGTGAATGTGAGCATGTGTGTGTAGGTGTATTTGTTATCGATACACACACACACACATACATGCATAAATATTCAATTTGGCTAGCTTAATCCTATGGCACAGCAAAGCAAACAAAAACAAACAGCAACAAAAGCCGAGGCGTGAAAAAAGAGCGTGAAATGCCATTTAATAAAATATCAAGTTACAACAACAGCAACCACAACAACAACAACAACAACAATGAGTACACAGCAAACGGTCCATTTCATTTGATAAAGACGCCAACGGCGATAAGATACGTTTAATTACGGGCGACTATTCGATTATGAATAGGGCAACCACACACACACACCACACAAAATCTAGGCCCATCCACACACACACACACCCATTCACACTCGCACACCCACTTCCCTGGAGAATCGTATTGAAACGTGTCTCAAGAAATTTGCGTTGTATTCGGCTAATGAACTTTGTTCGAGCATCGAGCGAAAACCTATTAAGAGTTCACAGCTGTGGCGGACCTTTCCAGCTAATAAGCTGATTAGCTGCCTTTCGAGACATTCTGCACACATTAAAGATTTCAAGATTTTGCACAATATTCAAGTAAATAACAAAGCCTTTAGGTGTGCATCCCACGAAATGCCATAAATAGTGAACTTTCGCTCAAATTTGTTTACATTCATTTATATGTTTTATGTGTTAACAAATAGACGAAAGCTGTTTATGCTTGCCATTAGAGGCACTGAAGGCAAGAACTGAATTTACATATTCAATTTTGATTATTTATAAATTATATATATTTGTTTTCATAATGCCATATATTGACGTAAGCACCTGCAATTTTGTTTCTATGCCATAAATCAATTTTCCTTAAGTAAACCAAACTCTAAATTTGATGTGCATAAAATTCTAAAATATAAAAATCAAAAATTATAAAAACAAAGAAAACAAGTTCAAATATAATCAGCGGAAAATTTCCAAAATACAAAAATTGACCTAAATTAAAACAATTCTAGCTAGCAGTTATTTTTGGGCTTCTGAAAATAATTTCAATAAATCCAAAGACATAAATATAATAAATTAAAACAAAACAAAAATACTTCAAGATCTTAAATTCCTCTTTGAAATGATTGATAAACATTTTCCTGCAATTTTCTGCAGGAAATCGTGATGAAAAGAAACTAAATTGAATATGTGTTTTTTAGTATTTTGATTGCTGGTTCATAAAAGTTCCACTCCGCCTTGTGGCTGAACGTAGTTTGTGTTGTTGTTGTTTGGCTTGTTTTGGCCGCATTTATTAAACAATTAACTTGTTGTTCGCACTCAGCGCAAGCCAAATGGATAAATGATATCGAAGCCAGAGAGCATTTCGTGCGTGCTCTATCGATAGCATCAAGGTCATCTATTTATCATACGCACCGTATGCCCAGCCCGAATCTCTGGCCTATCTATCTATCTATCTATCAGACGGGCCGGTCTGTCTGTGCGTCGGTGATCAATGATCCATTAGTTGTGGTAGCAACTGAATAAGCAGAATCGAAGTACTGTTATGCATATTGTAAATGGATGTTGCGCATATGAGTTCGAATTGCTATTGGCCATATGACCAGCAATAGTATGCCTCACCTATATAAATACAGCACAGCCATACATATGGATGTGTATGTGTGCCTGTCTATATCAGCTCTATAATTAAAATTTATGCATTTAAAATAGCAAATTAGTAACAAAAACAGAACAGGCGCCCGCACCTAGCGAATTCTCAATATAAACACGTAAATGCGAAACAAAGAATAAACTTAAATATAATTAAAAGCAACAACAACAACAACAACACGAACAACAACAATCCAAATGTGGGCAGCTAAAGGCCAAAGCCAGATCCAGCCAGAGCAAAAGTATTTCACCCACTGACGTGGAGCAGCAGCTCGGGACATCTAACGAGGTGCCGATGATGCGAAGCAATAAATTTTCGCTGGCCTCTGTTATTCGCAGCACATTCGGGCACAGCAGGCATCTAGCCCTGAGGCTGTGCCCCCATACACTCTGCCACCCACCCGGCATACACACACACATACTTACCACCACATCATGCGCAAAGGTGACCGGCATGGAAACGGTCAGCACGACAGTCCACAGCGTAAATATGGCTATCTTTGTGATGTGCTCGGTGCGCAGCATGCGCGAGCGTATGGGATGAACGACAGCCAGAAAGCGGTCGATGGACATCAGCACGAGCGTGTAGATGGAGGCATAGGCGGTGACCACGATCAGGTACTGGACACTGCGACACCAAATCTTGCCAAAGGGCCAGTGCTGCGTCACATAGTCGACGGCCGTGAAGGGCACGCAGAAGATGACGAACAGCAGGTCGGCGGCGGCCAGGTTGACGATCAGCAGATTCGTTGTCGAGTGCATGTTCTTGTTCAGCAGCACCACCAAGATGACCAACAGGTTGCCAAAGAAGCCCGAGACGGCAATGATGCCAAAGAAAATGGGCACCAGCCAGCGCACTGTGGCCCGAATGGCTTCCGCCTCGGATTGAAGTGCGGTTGAGTTGTCCGAGCCGAGGCTGTGGTTCAGGCTGCTTGCGGTCAGCTGGTCCAGCTGGATGGCCAGCGTAGTGGTCATGTTGTCGAGTTCCATGCTGAGGGGTTCGCTAGTCTATTGATTTGTAATTGGCCCAGCAGCGCTCATTACATTTTCCTTTGTTGGCGCACACAATGAACCGAGCATGAGCATTTTCTTGTTGTATTTCGCGACGGTTTTGTCCGTTGGATTAATCACAGGTCGTCGAGTTCAAATAACAAATTTCCAATTAAACGATTTTGGCCAAGCAGGCAACAGTCCAAGGTAATCGTAGTACACTTCTTCTTCTCCACTTTTTCAATTATCATGCGCAATAATCCAGAGGGAGCAGCTGCGGACACATTGTCTAAGCCCGAACGTAATTCACGGACTACAACACGTAACGGTACCAAAGACAATTTGGAGACACACCAATGAACACACTCACGCACACACACACACACACACTTGCCTATACAGAGTACACGATAATTGTAACAAGGTAAGACAACAATAGAATAGAGTGAGGAATAAGAAAAAAAAAAGTGTGACGCCTCGAATCGGCCGTGTCACGCCCTAGCTAACCGTTATCCCTTTGTGGCAGCTGCACCCACATACAATAAATGCTTTACAAGGACTTTGGCAATTTCCTATTGACAGACCGACCGGTGTCGCCTTTATAGCTGCTGCCTGTCACACACACACACACACACACTCACTCACGCACACACGCAAACAAATCGCATAAATTCTGCTTGGCTAGCTCTTAAATTTGATTATAATTTTCTTGAATGATGCTCACGAAATTATGTTTTCATTTTTATTTTTTTTTCGTTTTATTTTTTCAGCTTTTCTTTTTTTCTTGCTTTTTTGAGAATTCGAAAATTCAAACTGCACGCGTTGGTTACCAGCTCGCTACTGATGGCTGTGCCTCAAAAGATTCACAGTCTACGTCGACGGCAGCGCCAGCAGCACCAATAACAACGTCTACAACAACAGCTGGATGCGTGTGTGTGCGTGTGAGTGTGTTAGTTTATGGCGCAGCGAACGCCTGGCCAGCGCTAGCTGTTTGCTTAGCCAGACGGCAAGAGCGTCAGCCCAAACAGTTGGGAACAACAATAGCCGGCCGGTCACCAGGGTGACAGCTGGCTGTGCCGCACAGCTGGATATAGTCGCTGTATGGTGCTTAACTTCACTGATTAACTGTTGCGTCCAGCGACGGCGATGGTGGCGGCGGCCGCAACGGCGGCGGCAGAAATCAGCTAGCAAACGAAATAAACACAAATTCAGTCTGACAATGGCACGCGCTGCTTTACCCATTCGCCAGTGCCAGTGCCCACCGCGCCCCGCTCCCGATTCGCACAGTTTTATTGTCTGGAGGTCGCTTATCGCAACAGTTTTATCACACACCTTTAGAGCACTGTGGCGCACCGCAGCAAGGAGTGGGTCTGGATTGTCGAAGCAGCTGTTGCTGTCGCTCCTGCTGTTCCCGCTGCTCCTGCTGCTCCGGGTTAAGCCCGGCAACGACAGCCCATTTACATGCCTATCATTGCCAGCCAGAGTCTGGGCCATTCACCTGTCACAGCCAGCTTGACGAGCCGATGTTGACGTTGACGGCGACAGCAGCGCCGACGCCAACGCCAACGCCGACGCCAGCGTAGCGTCACAGCTGCGGCTTAATTGTCGCACAGCGTTTGCCTCGGCCACGCCTCAGTGGGCCATCATCGAGTACAACAACAATTTGACGAGATTAAACATGAATTAAGCAGCGCCTGAAAAAAAAGATAAATAGACACAAAAGCAAAATAAAACTCAGAGAGCACGCAGAATAAACACAATTCCATAAAAAGCAAAAGATAAAGAAATAAAAATCAAATGAAATCATTCAGATTTAATGTGAAACACGGCGCATTTAATGTAGACCTTAATCTTTAATGATTCCTGTCTAGCTGCAAATGCGATTTTACTTTCCCTCTTTTCACTACGATGATTTAAACAGCCTTTGCAACCATTTAGAGCCCAGAGACTACGGCTCGCTTATCATCTGCCGAAATATTCATACAATTTCGCAGTCTGCTTTATCTAGGTGACCCCATTTGAATTGAAATTTCCAATATATGTTGCATACCTTAAGGCGCATCAAATCTAATAAGATTTCTGATATTTGCATGTGTGTAACATAGACTTCAGAGCATTCTGACTTTGTGTAAATAGAAAATGCATATTAATACCAGAATCTGTATTGAGAGATCACACAGAGCTCAGCCTAGTTCTACTCTGCTAGCAAATGCCATTGAAAAGGCGTATTAAAGCTCGATTGACGCGCAGAATTCCATTTAATTTGCACACTCTATTTATGAATTTAAATTTCTGGTCGCAGAGCTCAAAATTCACAATTAGCATCAAGTCAAACACACAAACTATGCAATTCTGTGGGTTTTTCATAAATATATTAATGTGTTTTCGTCTAAAAACAACAGTAAATCACGTAATATATTTGCTAAGCCTGAAATGAAAAGCATGAGCATTTCAAATAAATTAACATGTGAATGAGTGACAGCCTAACACAGCCACGCACACAAATACACTCCACACACATGCACACATAAGAGATTTTTGAGCCGCATTACATTTACTGCCTGGCTCACTTTTAGCCCAATTTCTGGCTGTTATAAAAAGTTAAGCAAACAATTTTGTTATGCCAAAACTTTCGATGTGATTGAAATGTTTTGAAACGAGCTACAATAAGAGCATACACACACACATATAGAATAAACACACACACACACATAAATATATGTAGATATGAAAAATGCTTTGCCACGTTGTCGGGTCGAGCATTTTCATTTTTTGGCATAATCATGTGCAATACCTTACTTTTAGACAGATATTTAGGGCTAGTGTTAATGGCCGCACCACAGTGGGCGCCATATGCCAAATATTTAACAAGAAAATTTAATAATTTTATATAATAGTCAAATTCAACTGTCATGCGGATATACTTTCGATCCATTTCCACTTCATTTGCATTTAATTGGAGCTCAAATTTGAGTGAATAATTGTCTATTTCGCCCATGGTGGGCTAGCTTGCTTGGCGAACTCTATTGTCATTCTGCAGACACTTGATGCTCAAAATGATGGATTATCGTCTTTCCCGTGTCGTCGTAATATTTTCATATTACATTATTTCGAGTCCGCATCCATTATGTCTGCCCGTGGGTTGCGGCTGAGTTCCTGTTGTGGGGCCACAGAACAGAATTAATAAATGTAAATCGGCAGGAAACTGTGCAGAAGACGAGGCGAGTCCTTAAACAGTACTAACAGCCGCATTAATCGGCATTTCTCCGAAAAAAGGGTTCGGCCGAGCACAGCTTTTGCTATTTAATCATTCAAATTGACTTTCTTGCCTGATGGCCGTTAATTTTGAAATCCCTTTTTAAAAAGCGCTACTCTCATTTTCCGGGCTTTCCTTTCATGCCTGGCCCGTAACTTTGTTTTCCGCTCGAGGCTTATAAGTTTATATCCCCCACTCTATCCATTTTTATCATCTACTTCGTCTTCTTTCGCGAATTTTTTCCTTTGTCTTTCGCGCCGGAGCGCGCTTAGAGCGCGCTGAGTTTGCATTTGGCTTTCCTTTTAGCATTTTCCACATCCCTTTTTTATTTTATTTTTAAGTTTTTAATCAAGATGTTTTAAATGCGGTTCGCCGCTGAATGATGGATTTTTTCACTCTCCATCTCCCCTTTCGCTCTGTCTCATTTCTTTTTATTTCATTTTCTTTTTTTAATTCTGCGCAAAGTAAACAGAAAGTTGGCGGTGTGTTTGGCAAAGATTTATGCAGATAATAAAATGAGTCTTCAAATGTTTAATCAAGTTTTGAACGGCCAGCCCCTTTCGCTGCTTCAGTGTCCAGCGTTCAGTTTTTAGCTTTCAGTTTTGCAGCTTCCAGTTTCCAGATTGTGCTCCATAATTAAGGCTCTCGTCCTTGGCGAAAATCTATTCACTGCAAGAGCAACTTTTCAAAAGCAATATAAGCCTGGGGTAAAAACATGTCAAGGACTGCGTCCATTCAGCTCACATTAAAGCCAGTGCTTAGAAAAGATGGCCATAAGATCGCTATTTCCACAATTAGCTGCACCACTTTTCTAGTGCTTCAAAATATTTTTCTGCAGCCAAGTACCATTAACGTTGGCAATGGCAACAGCAACAATCAGTGCTGCAAATCCTATTTACTATAGTCCGTGCCCAGGTGCTCCGTGCGTCACAATGAAATGTCTCAAACAATAGTCCAGCGTAGTCATAACTGGAAAGAAACTAAAGTAAACCAAACTTAACTAAACTAAATGCTGCTTCCGCACGGACAAACAGCTGCAACTTGTTAGACGTCTAGCTGTCGTTGGTTTTATTTGAACACCCTATGCAGTTGCTAAAATGAGCGTGATAGACTAGTATATATATATATTAATTTATATTTTTATTTATTAATTTTTCTACGACTCTCACAAATTAAATTGTACTGCAAACTTAGACTTATACGAAATGGATTTAGCAGAAATTAATAAAAATAGCTAGAAGGATAGGGGGCCTTACAACTCCAAGAAAATACCCACAGTCCGTTATATCCTCAATCAACTAAAGTGCGAAGAGCTGAAAGCCTTAACATCTGTATATTAATTAAATTAAATAAAATTAAATTATATTAAATTACTAATGTACGAGCTAACTGATGGCTAAATAAATTTAAAACTTTTTGAACATAGTAACATAATAACAAATAAATGAAAATAATAATTTGCATTTAATTCCGCCACAAGTCTTTTAATATATTTATCTTACCTTTTTTTTATTATTTATATTAATTTAATTTTGTTTTATATTATTTGATTTATTTTTGATTAATTTGATTATTAATATTATCATTTTATTTTTTTTTTTTTTTAATCTTTTATTTAATTTTTTTTTTTTATATATATATTGAATTAATTTTCGTTTTTTTAATAGAAGTTTCATGGCATAAATAATAGGTAAAAATTAATATTTGATTGAAATATTTTGATTTCTGTATTATCCAGTTTATTCTGAATCATTTTTGGAGTTAAAATAAAGAATGAATTTTTTATAAATAATATTAATACATTTATGCAAATAACAAAGAGGAACTATTCAACACTTAAACCAATAAATAATATTTATATTCAAGAAATCGTTTATAGGGCGCGGTGCAGCCAGTCATTCATTCAGGTTTCTTGTTTTCTATAAGCTGTCATGAAAAATATGATTTTACGCGCTGTTCGGTAGTCGCCATTGCCCGTCGACACCGGCCCCGCCGCAGCCGCAGCCGCCGTCGCGTCGTCGGAATGGGCAGATTTGCGGGCGTAGCCGGCGGCGCCTGTTGCCGTGATACCGTAAAATAAATGTTGCTGCCCCACAATTGCAGCAATTGCTGGCGGTGCACAGTTGTCAACTCCGGCCATTGTGTTGTGTTGTGTTCCGCTTCTTCCTTTTATTTTTTTTGCCTCCTCTGTTTCGTTTGTGTGCAACAAAATTAGCTTTTACGCTTTATTACCGCAAAGATGGCTAAAGAAAACAATACTCGAGTTGAAACTTGTTCGGCCTGCAGGTTGTCCGTCAGGCCACGTTGTCCGGCTGTCCAGCTGCCCGGCTGCTCGACAGCCGGCAGTCTACCAGATCTCGGTGCAGTTTTGCATTCTTTGGGTTTTATTGTGTTGCCGCCGCTTTTTTGTCGTCAGCATCCGGAGGCCATCAA